TATATATATATATATATATAATAAAAAAAGAGAAATAATAATATAATATATTATTAAAATACAAATATTAATATCAGTATAATATCGTGTAACGATATAGAACCATTCGCTTACCTGTTACGGAAGGAAAGAATATACCAATGAGAATGGTGAAGGTCGTGGTAAGATCGACTTGAATCTGGTTATAGCTTGAGCTTGATAACATATCCATGTCCTTCGGATCGGACCCGTAGGTGATTAACTGGCCCTCCTCTTGGAAACGGTCCCATATGTTCTCTGTATATCATAAAATAGATTTATCTATCTTATATAATAATTACAAAAATTGCAATCTTACCTAAGAATACACCGCTGGCTAAGCCACGAATACCGTTGACGATAGTAACATTATTCTCGGTGTAATACGGATCACATTTACTGCGAGTGCTGTTACCGCAATAGATGCTATGTAAAACACCGCTAACGTTTTTATTACAATCACTTAAAATGTTGATGTCCTTTAATAGCCTCCTGCCGAGCACGCACAATCTAAAACACAAATGATGGAGTTTTAAAGCATTCAATCTTCCTTTAATTCGTTTGTCTCTTGCGATACATGTGATCATTTATTGTCTATACAATATTATAATCGTGATAGTATTTCCACTATTGATGACTACGTAATACAAAAATTAGTATCGTAATTTAGTATACTTCAGAGATTCGTTGCCGTTAAAGTTCACGAAGAGCCCCACGTAAACAGCAAGGATGGAAAGAATGACGCAGGCCAGTGCCACTGTAGCGAACTTGTTAACGAACTTTACGCCAATAAAGACAATCGTTCCCATTATTATCAACAGGAAAGTGCCATATACCCGGAAGTTGTTGTACATAATGCTGGCATCTTTCGTAAAGTCGCCGAATATGCTGAGTGACGGCGCCATATAAGTCTACACAAAAGTACCGAAAAAAGATGAGCAAAATAGCAAAGTATGTCCTGTTATGTGTTCCACATAAAAATTACGCAAAAATCTCTATCATATTAATAATTAATATTTTATAAATATATCTTTTATTATACATTAGATATATTAAGAAATAGATGTGTGTGTGAGTGTGTGTCATTTATATTTTTTATATACTCACTTTTTTTTTTACATAAATGATCGATACATGGTAATTTGATTAATCTCAACAACTATAAAACTATGTGATACTTTTACTTTTTTACTTTAGTTTCAAATATAAATCAATACGATCAATTGATTAAAAAACTAATTGAAGTAATGCCATTAATTGGTTGATACTTACAAGAACGATTTCGACCGCACCAATGATGTACATCGCAGCAGCCAAAGTAGTACCGGTATAAAACAACATACCTACCGCGCCGCCGAATTCCGGGCCTAAGCTTCTCGATATCATGAAATAGGAACCACCGGCCGGTACCACGCCATTGGTGGCGATGGCGCTCATACTGATCGCCGTCAGCATTGTCTACGCGCACGAGGAATAACTGTTTATTACGATCCATTTGCACATTTTCGAAGCTTAATATAGTTCCACGCATTAAAATCTTTAATAATAACAATAGGCTCAGAGTACTAAATTAATAATAATAAAAAATAATAACAAAATACGAAATTAATTGTTTATTAAATATTATGTTATCAATGCTGACATGGATAAAAAAAACGGTCCGAAACGTATATTTTTAATGCATATTTGTCACTGACATTTAACAACAAAATGATTGCGTGCCAATAACAGCGCCTTGGCTCTTATTTGCCAGTTTCTTCACTTAATATTATTAAAATTTTGATATCTTTTTTACGTATTTTACTCGACATGTGGTTAAGATTTCGATTTTCCATACAGTTACACTCTAGATGCGTATACTTACTACGCAACAGCAGCAAAGCACGATGAAAAAACCTTGAATGGCGCCGGCCGTACCGACTACCCATGTCAACCGGATAAAGAGGATCACACCAAAGATGTTTTGGATACATGGCAGATAGACGCCTATGAGGGTACCCATTCGCGCTCCACCTCCCACAGCCGGTGCCGGTTTGCTATCAGGATCGGTCGCAGCAGGTATAGTGTTGCTATAGTTGGCCAGGCTGCTGAGCAACGTTGAGATCCGCGGTCGATCCTCCATCTCCTCCTACGATTCAATTTGATTTTTATCCATCCGTTGATTATATGATTATAATATTGCGGATTTTGAAAATAAAACATTTTTACTTCACGCCCTTTTTTTGTAACATTTTGATCGAGTGTTTTAATTTAAAAAAATCTTCTGGATAAAGAAAAGATAATATGATTTTTCAACTTGCGCGCTTTTTTTAGAAGAAGAGACACCTCGAATATTTTATTCGAAATTTAAGGGATATACAGATTTACCATTTACAAATCGCGATTGTTTGATCATATATAGACTTTCGCTACTTCGCTATAAATACTAGACTTTATTATTTTTATTCACCAACGTATCATATTTTTCATTTTTGTCTCGTCGCGTATAAACTTTATTATTGAATAGAATCCAAAACAATTTTCAGATTTCAGAGACCAACAAACCGTCCGACCAGCCATCATTCACATGCTTATTTCTGTGGTAAGAATCGCGATCCTCACTCGCCTTGTAACCCCATATAAGGTTTCTTATTATGCTGTAAGGGAGGCAATCTCATTTGCAATTTTATTGATAAATTTGCGATAAAGTGTCGCGTAACTCCATCCGTCGGGACGCTTTTATGGAAATTGTTAATGCTTTGTCATGTAAGTTCTCGCAACCTCGTTATGAAAATATTACGATGTTGTCGATCTAATTTCGTGGCATTCCATTCTTGCGTTACATACAAGCAATACAGATTTATGTACTTCAAATGTGTTATTATTGGTCGTAGAGAGTGTCAGAGAACGCGAGCTGAGAAGATCCGATGATCCACGGCGATTTCCTTCAAGAAATTACAACGCATCTTTCATGTCTTAATGTCCAATTTATTTCTCGCGTGATGTGTCTTTCTAATTTCTTCTTCCATCTTCGCACATTACAGCGTGTTGATGAACATTTATATCAATTTTCACGAAAAAACTTTATAGCCGAAACTCTGATCTAAAATGGATAGAATGTTCACAAATCCATTCTTTTCTTGTTTATCCCGTATTATGATTTTGAAGAAACTTAACAAGTTCGCAGAGAAATAATAAATACCATTCAAGAATGGGGGTTTAAACGATCTTTCAGATAGAAAAAAGCCATTTTATTTCTCTCTCTTTCTCTTGCAAGACTAGTATTATTATAATTATTGATTAAATTTTCTTTTCCGGAAATTATTTTTAAATAAAAAAACTTATTTAATAGTTATTTGTTCATTCTTTTAAGTTTAATATCGATTATAGTATTCGATAGAGCCAAACAAAATATGAAAAATATAAGAGTGCCGAGAAGGTTGAAGTCGCCGTAAAGTGAATTAACGGATTCTACAAGGCACAATACTCGTTTCGTGAGATTCAATATTCGATAATGGCCCGCAGTTTTGAATGGAATCGGGCACAGATAAGAAAATTGGGCCGACTAAAGCTCAGACTGCTCTCTTACGGTTAGAAAAATAGCAGAGTCCTCGTTAAAATACCGAGGAGCACGAACGAGAATAAGAGAGCGAGAAGAAGACAAGAGACCAAAGTATGCGGCTTAATTGTCGTTTTGAAGGAACGGTGATCCAGAAAAGAATTCTTAGCTCACGCTCCATTATGTCATATGTTTTCTCTGTAGAACTTTATAGTATATCAAGCGACGCGGTAACGTCGCGACGCCAAATACATAAAAAAATATCCGACCGTTGAGAGTCACTGCATTATGTCGAGGCGCTACCAATAGCTTATCCGGAACTTTTGCGTCAAATAAACTTTCGATTAAAATACCTCAAGAACTAAAGCAGTAATCAAAAATGTAACGGCACTTTTGTATCATGTGGACACAAGTTTTCGATTGCGACCAGTTCAAATAAGATTGGTGCACACAGTCCTGAGAAATAATAATCGTATATCAGAATTGTGACATTTTCATTCTTCACCAGAATAAGTTTCAGACTCACGTACGCTCGCATGCATACGCGCAAAGCGATTTTATCCTTCAAGGAGCATTCACACCGCTCATATACGATTATTCTTTTGTGTATACTCTTTCATAAAACTATAATTTTATAAATTTATAATAAATGAGAGATTTTGATTGATTGATCTTTATTAGCTTTCTCAGCTATTTGTAATATAATTCTAGTTTACATTAATTACAATATACTCCTTTAACATTCGCTTAAACGGCACAATTCTTTCATTCTGCTTTATTTCAGCTGGCAAGGCGTTATACATTTTTACTCCTTCGTAAAACATACTCTTTTGCACACTCCTTGTTCTCCGATATTTTATTGCAATATCATCAGCTTGTCGTGTTTGCCTTTCACTCTCATTTCCCACAATTTCTAATCTATTTCTTAATTGCTCCGGTAACATGTTCCTTAAAATGCATCTAATTATACTATAACCTGGTACGTTCACTTTACTGTCTTCAATTTCAGCAGTCAATCTTGTCTCTGATAACGCTATGAATGCCGGATTTACTTTCTTCATAATCTGATGTTGTATCTCATCTTTATGCGCCATCAAACTTTGCGCGTTTGTATACAATATTATTCCCGCTTCCTTCTGTAGTTGCTATTTCGCATATTCCCAGCCGGCTCTCCTCTTCTCCTCTTGTATCGCCCTTTTAAATGTTGAACATTCTGGTTCTATGCTTGCTTACACATCCTGGATGATAAAACAGCTTAATACAATTCACTTGATAGCAAGACTTGCATGTCACCACCTGATTTTTTATTGTCTTTTTACATGCCGAGCATCGATATTCAGCATATTCATCGTCCATGCCGATAATTATTGGCCGAAACCGCTAATATCAGCGTAAGCGATCAGTCACCTCTGTTTCACTGTCACACGTCAGCACTTTTGTGTCCACCTTTAATGTCTACCTGTCGTGTGAGACTTTGGTGTCCCAGACAGGAAATGCACTTCTCACGCCCACAAATCAGCATATCCCGGCTAGATAACACTCATGGCTAATGCCGGTCTATGTCGTTATAACTTGAATAACTTTCTATCACTCCCCGTAACTATTTAACCGTTTAAAAGTTATTACTTTTGCGGAGCGATGTTTGACACGTCTTCTCCACTGAGAGAGAGAGAGAGAGAGAGAAAGAGAGAGAGAGTGGGAGGGAAGGAGGGAGGAAGGGAGAGGGGCAGGGAGGATGAGAGAAAGGGAGACGAAGAGAGAAAGAGAGCGAGGAGATAGAGAGCGAGAGGGAGAGAGGGGAAAGAGAGGGGGGAGAGAGGGGAGAGAAAGGCGAAGAGGAGAGGGAGGGGAGAAGAGGAGGGAAGAGAGAGGGAGAGGGGGGAAGTAGAAATTGATTTACTGATCTTTATTAGCTTTCTCAGCTATTTGTAATACAGATCTGGTTTACATTAATTACAATATAATCCTTTAACAATTGCTTAACAACAGCTCAATTTTTTTACATCGTTTTATCTCTGCTGGTAAGGCATCATACACTTTTACTCTTTCGTACAATATACTCTTTTTGTGCACTCGTAGTTCATAGTTCTACAAAATTGTATTGTAATGTTCTCAACTAACAACGTTACATAATCAAAGATAGGGAGAGAGAAGCGGATTGATTTGTCTGATCTTTATTAGCTTTCTCAGCTATTTGCAGTACAGATCAACCTCAGCAGTCAATCCAGTTTCCGACAGTGCTATGCATAATTCATTATCTTCATATCTGATGCTGTATCCTCTTCCTTTTGTAGTTTATATTTAATATTCTCCCAGCCGGCTTTCTCCTTCTCCTCCTGTATCGCCCTCTTAAATATCGGACATTCCGGATCAAAGGCCTCATGCTCATCACTTATTTTCAAGTTGTACGTTTGAATCTTAAACACACAATTTACACATCTTTTCTTTGTCACCGTGCATTCAATCGCTTTATGATTTCCTGCACATTTGTAGCATGCTTTATTTCGTGTATAATTCTTTGCAATATAATAATAACCCCAGCATTTAAAACATTTTTTAATATTAATGTGATTAAATACCAGACACTTTCTCCATCCTACATTCAATTTTCCTTTGCTCAACATTATTTCATGAGCTTTTTCATCTACTTTAATTATTACATAACCTTCTTCTTTACCTCTACTTCCGGATTGACTTCTAACTATTTTCTTCACTATTCGCATATAAATTCCTTCATTCTTCGCGTCAATCTTGTTCTGCTTTTTGATTGTAACTATTAAATTATCATCATTCAATTTCATTTCTTCTTCGCCAATATTGACAATTTTTATCTTAGGTTTCATCCGCGGTGACTCAGTTACTTTGAAATTTTCGCCCAGCTTGGCTTGTACTGTAGCCTTTAATTTTTCCATTTCTTCTCCAGTCTCACAACCCAGAATCACTGTTCCCTTGCTTCCTTTTTTTAGCTTCGTTACTCCCATAGCCATATTTTTGATGTCTATCTTTTCTTTTATCAATTTTTTAGTAGCGTTACTCTCTTGTTGCATCTTAGGTTTGATAATTATATATTATCTTTTTTTCTTCTCTTTAACTGCTTCATTATAATTTCTTTGTGCTCCTTCTGACGGTCCTGAAGCTCCTTCTGACGGTCCTGAAGCCCCTTCCTCTATTATTCTTCCCAATTCTCCCATTTCTTGTTTAATATTTTCCAATTCTTTTCGAACCATTTCCTTAATCATCATCTTCACTTTCTTTTTACATGCTGTTTCATTTTTTATTTTCTTCACTATTTTTATAAGCCAATCTATTTTTATATCGATATCCACTGATCCACTCGCGCCTGCTACTCTGTTTCCACTACTTGATGCCGTACTCCCCATTGATCTTCCTGTCTATGTCAATGCTTTACTCATAGCTGCTTCTTTATCGCGATCGATAATAAATTTCTCAAATGGGTCACGACACGCCACCAATTCGTGGTTTCTATTATATATTTTATACTTAATTACACATCCTGGATGATAAAAAAGTTTATCACAAGACTTGTATGTTACAACCTACTTTTTTATTGCCTTCTTACATGCCGAGCA